TGTCATTATAAAGCTGAGTCCTTGGAGATGGATTTCAATTTCAACAGCATGAGCTGAGACAGATCGGACTCACTGCTCTTGTATAATGCCATATGCTGGCTATAGGGGGTTTTGTGGTTTGTGTTTAATTCCATTGTCGTTATTAGTAATGAGCTTTTTTTGCCTCGGTCGGAGGCTACAGTCCAGCTTGTTGGAAAGTGCACGGAAAAGGTTATTATTATGAAAGCCATTTAGGAAGTTTCTCAACTCCTGTCCAAAAAAAGAAATATCACTCTGGAATCGAGAGCACGTGTCTAGGAAATTCCCAGCACTGTATGCTACAGTACATTGCTCAGGGAACGCTGCAAGGAAATGTCCAAATCTTGTAGAGTGTTGAGTGCGATTTCTGGAAACTGGAACATTTGTATCCAAATTACAAAGATTCATTATATTCTATAGGGAAGGGTGTGCTGATCAAATAACTTCCCTTTGTAGTATGCTATGAGGTGTACTCAGCATGGGAAAGATTTAAAGCAGAATTAAAGAGGAGTATGGCAAAATAAAAAAGACCTCACAAGCATTTGCCATATCAGCATATTAGCACAATAGGGCTGACTTACCCAATTGTCAACGATTCCATCCAGCACTGCACTGCCCGTTATCCATCACCGGCGCTGCCACCTTTATCCCATCTTCTTCCGGGTTCATCATCTTCAGCCGATTGATTGGACAGGTTGCAAAAGATCCCTTACAGTTCTGTGCTGTCCGTCACCGTTGCTGCCATTTTCATCCCGTCTTCTTCCAGGATTGTCATCTTCAGATGATTGATTGGCCAGGCTGGCATGATATACCTCCCACACATGTACATGGGGGGGTTACGTCATCTCGGCATGCCGGGTCTGTGCACTGAGCAGCACTTTAAAGGAGAACTATGGGGTCAGGGCTTTTCCCCATAGTTCTCCTTAGGGTAACGGGAGGACACAAACTAGCGTCCTCCCGTTACCCTAAGCTCAGTATACCGCGAGCTACAGCTAGTGAGACGCTGCAGCCGGAGCGGATCCCGACATCGATGTCCAGATCCGCCCAGCTGCGTGAGTGACAGCTGGCTCTGCCTATCTAGAGCGCTGGCGTATAGCGCTGGCATCAGCGCTGGCGTATAGGAGCGGGGAGGGGGGAATCCAGCCCCTCCCCTGTCACGGCTCTCTGCGAGAGGTGAGCGAACGCCGGTATATGTTTGCTCACCTCCCGATCTACTGAGCCGACCTGTGACAGTCTAATTGTCACAGGTCGGCTAAAACTATGAGGTGAGTGAAAAGCACTCACCTCATAGTTCTCCTTTAGGGAAACCTGTTCTGAGAAAATATGAAGGCTGTAGTTGCTGGCCTGGCCTTCTGTTAGGCTACATTCACACTATAGTGTGAATGTGTGTTTTGGGACCCCTGCGCTAGGAACCTAATTCCTACAGCAGGAATCCCAACTATGCCCTTTAGAAGTGGCCGCTGTCACTCATTCAAGTTAATGATCGGGTGACAGCAGCCGCATTTGAAAGCGGTACTCCGCATGTCATCTTATGTGATATGACTACATGTGGTTATGATGTGGTTATGATTACATCATTATCCCTGGATGCATCTTGTGTGTGTCCAGGGATGGTGATTGATTCCTAATCACATGTAATTGTATCACATAAGACACAATGCAGGGATACAGATGTGGCCAGCGTCAACCAATCAGTAACTTGAATGGGTGATAGCGGCTGCCTCTGACGGCATATCTGGGATCCCTGCTGCAGGAATTTATAGGCTCCTACCGCAGGGATCCAGTGTTAATTTTGACAGCAAATTTCAATTTGCTTTTAGTCATAGTCTTTTGACTAAAATGCCATTTAGCTGTACTCATATTTTAGTCATCTGAATTTTCTTAGTCTAGCTTAGTTAATGTTAATTGACAGCACAGCTATGAGATAGTGAGAAGGATTAGCCAAACAAATATAGGGTTGCCACCTGTCCAGGATTCACCTGGACAGTCCGGGTTTTGAATGCTGTGTCAGGGTTTCATGGCAGCAGAAACCCGGACACAAGATGTCAGGCAGACAGGAGCAACCAAAATGAAGATAGGGGCTACTGCCCCCCACTGAAAATAGTGTCAACTGTGATATTTACACGAATAGGCCGACGTATTCTGAAAAAAAGGTGGCAACCTTAAGCACATATCCTGTTTCTCTGAAGTCTTCCACATGTGTCACACTGTTGGGCTTAGTTTAGACAGGCGGCAGGCTCCAGCAACCTGTGAAAAGCGATCAGCGGCAGATCACATTTGTCAGGGAGGTAGTGTGGCAGCTGTCTGGTGTTCAGGGGGTAATGCTGCTACCTCCTCAATGCATTAGTTTTTTGTTTTTAATCCCAAGGTGGATTTGTCATTAAACTACTGTGCGGGTGGGGGGGATTTGGGAGTGGCCAAGGGTAACTTTTAGAGATTCTCTAATATGTAGTAAAAAAATCAAATGTCACTGGTGTGCAATGTGACACACCGTTCTGCAGACTGTTTTATATATAGAATGTTCCCGTGTATCTCATTTCATGTTTGTGTGATTAGCCCATTACTTGTCTGGGGCATCAGCACAAATAGAAATCGAGTTGGAAGCATCCCGTGCAATCTTTGCTAAGACACTTTCTAAGATTCGATATGGCTAAAGGGATGCAGATGGCGCTCCTCTTCTTATAACAACTCTGGAATTCTCAGGAAATCATAATATAGGCAAAACCACCCACTCACCCAGTCAGCCTGAGAAAGGACTTGGTCAGGCAACGTCAGTTTTCTGAACAGAATTAAAGGTAAGATTCTGCACTGAAGTTTGCTAAAACCTTTCCAATGAACTGGGGTAAAGTTTCCATTTACTTATTTTTTTTCATGTTATCACTTACCTGCATTTCTCCTGCCACTGGTGGACAGACAGTACAGTGGTGTATAGCCTTTCAGGGCAGTAGTACCTCATTTTAAAGCTATATTCCAGCTATATTTGAAGGTTTGGGTATAACGTTGTTATTTTTGACCCTAGGCAAAAAAAACGAACAGTTAACCCTTGCAGCGTGTGTGTGTAGGTGTGTGTGTGTGTGTGTGTGTGTGTGTGGGGGGGGGGGGGAGCCCCCCCT